AAAAACTTAAAAAAAAAAAAAAAAAAAACGACAAAAATGCAAAAAAAAGCGTGTAATTCCGTGGCGTGACGAATGTTAAGTTTTTGTAGCTGATTTACTTCACCCGGCACGATCGTTGTTTCCGGTGTTCGTGTAAAGTAGTACAAAGTTGAACTTTCTTTTTCCTGTCGTCGTTCGCGAATGTCGCCAAGGCGATCGTTCACCTTGTAATTGTGATTCCAGACCGTGCCGATAATACACGAGCATTTCGATGAAAGAACGTTTCTGGGTATAGATTTGCTTAACTATAGCTGCTTTCAGCTATGTTCAGCCTTGCTCCACGACCGATCGACACTTTTTGTGGTCTCGTGAAATGGGAAAAGTTACTTTGGTCGAATAGAAACTCGTCTTTTCCGCGAATTTTTAACGAATAAAAATGTGATAATTCGTTTTTCAAAGACTGGAATGTTGAAAACAATTTCTTAGATATTATTTTAAATATATATATATATATATATTTTTCCGTTTAAAAAATTTCACTTAAAAAAATTTTACACTCCACTTTGAACATTTGATATCAAGGAAATCAAGATAACAGTATCGAATGAAATCACATCGGAATACTGGGATATCAAACATTTAAATGGGTATCAATGAGTACTAATTAAAATCACTTGAAACGTACTCCCATTATTATCCGATAGCAGTTGTTTGGAGGATCATTAATTCAATGCGTGGAACATTGTCAAACGCGATTTCAGATAGTCGACGATAGTGGGAACAATATCGATGGAACGGCACTAATAATCGAAACCGCTGAACGCGGCCATTTTCGATTCCAGCACGCGCATTAAATCTTGCGCGTTGAGTCCATAAGAAAATACAATCCGCACTAACTCTTATTCATCCATCCACGTTTCAATTGGCAATTGGAATAAATCGATTAAATTAATAAGTCGCGAATAGAGGGATCGAAGCAAACATTTATCCCAAGACCAACTAAAATAAACAATTACCCATCCCAATAATCACAATTTATCAAATCACAATTCAAATCAAGAATTCAAGAAAAATAATACTTTGGCTATACGAGCAGTTCGCAATGGAATAAAAATATTTTCTCGTTGCATAGAATAAGAATAAAACTCTCGACCGTTAACGCGAGCAATGAAACGAAACGGGACAAATCCCCTCGTAGAGCGAACTTCATATCCCCTTTTTCGGTAATCACAGAGTTTGCCAAAGGCGAAGGGGGCGATTAAGCGTAATCCACGTTGCACGGTATCGCGGTGCCCGGTAAGTTTCATTAACGTGGCAAGGTCCTTGGAATGAGCCGGTCGGCCAATAAATTAGTGGCACGTTGAACGAGCCACCTTAGCAACGTTACGCGATATATCCCACGAACGGATGTGTCGTGCACAACCACGAAAATCTTGGACGATGGATGGCAGAGATATTCTCAACTTGCCGCCAATGAACACCGCAAAATCGTGTTTCATTTATTAATCTTTTTCCACCGATTTTCTAATCGTTTCGCGATTTATTGACCCTTGAAAATCTCTTTCATCGAGGGTGCGCAAATTGAAACCCATACAATGCTTCGAATTTTCGATAAAAATTCGACGAGAATTATTTTACCCTCGCGTTTTTTGACTGTGTAAATCAAGCCTCGCGAATCGTTCGGTCTTGAGAATAATTATTAGGGTTCGTGCAATGATATTAGCAGGAAATTGTAGGTTATAAGTTGCTGCGGGAATGATTTATAGTTTAGGACTTATCACTGAGTCGTGCAAGGAAATATATATCGATGTATAAATTACAAGTTTTAAAAATAAACTCGTGGAAAAAGAAATCCGCCCCTTCTCCCCCTTATAACAAAATTCTCGTACGAGACGAGATAAAACGTCCCTTTAAAATTCCTAAAACCCGTCCATTTCCATCCTCCCCTCCCCTTCCAAACTTTCACCTCGACGAGTAAAAAAAATTTGCAATTCCCGAAGGCGGAGCTCGTAACACGTCCGCTCCGCCGCTTTCAAAAAAATCCGCATTTTAAAACTGCAGTACGGGAACAATTACGTTCGAGCACTTGTCGATCGTCTGAATCTCGAGGCGAGTTGCCGTCGCGAAATTCATCGGGTCGAAACTTATCCCGTGGAAAAAGGTTGACGGTGGAATTTTATGAAGGGGCCCGGCCGCGTGCACGCGCTGTGTGTCAAGCGCGTCTTCATGCATATTCAAGAGGTTGGCGCGGCCGATGGATCGGACGGAGAGTGGGATGTCGGATGGAAAAACGAACTCGTCAGAAATATGTTAATGCGGCCCCTCGGCCCATCGAAATTTATAGGCCGATTCCGCTCCCTTGTCGAATGGAAATCCATACCTGACACCTGGACGATTAATGGCAGCGAAAATAACAAACTTGGCACCCGGTCACCGCATGTTTATGAGAGGGCTACAAGCCCGAGCGGAGTCGAATCGATCCGTGATGTGCCGGAAACGTCACGATGGCCCTAACAACGTTCAAACGCAACGTTCAACGTTCAGTGGCATCGGTTTTTCCATGAAAATCTTTTGATTTTTGGTACATATTTGTTTCCAATGTTTCGATTGTTTGGAGAGATATAAAGTGGTAATAAGTGCAAAAAGGTACTCGAATATTTGAAGCACAAGATGTTACATAAATTAAGTCTCTGTATATTTTGAACTTGATTTTTCATGTAAAAAAATGTGAGAAGAAATTAGAAATTTTATCATCGAAATACATATAGTATTTCCAGTTGAAATACAAGGATTTAAGAAAATAAAGGAGATTATAAATCAATGACCTATATTATTTCCTGGAATTATCCCGTACGTCCGTCACGTGTTTGGAATTTGAGATAGGTCAGCGAGGGATGCAAGCGAGTAAAGGGCAAGGATGGTAAATAAAAATTATTCTTTCCTTCGTAATAATTAAAAAACAGTAAGATTCCAAAATCCCTCTTTCACACAATGATCAATCAATAATATTCGAAGTTACAGCAGTTCGAAATTTCCTCCAATTTTAATAAAATTTAATTAAATTTTAACACAAATCACACGATAGATATACATTATTTAAGAATATTGCTTACTAATTATATATTAGATACAATGTTTCCTTTTGCACGCGTAAATTCTCTTCTTCAAATCATCAAAACGATAAATAAAAGAAACACTCTCCATTTTCTTCTCGAACAAAGAAATCATATCGAAAAAGAAACAATTGATCCTAAAACAATGAGAGAGAGAGAAAGAGACCCATCCAATCGCCTAAAAATTCCAACACGGCCGATCCGTGTGCGTATCCGCCGAATCCGGGCGGATCCCGAATGCATAAGTATTCCGGGAACCGGATTCGATACGAGGGGATAGCGTTGGGACGTTAATTACACCGACGCCGGGTACAATGCCCGCTCCTGGACGCAATTAGCGCCGATACGCGTCGTTAATAACGTGGAAACTGGGAGGAAGTGCGTAACTCGATGACATCGACCGCTCGACCGACCTCTGACCCTCTCTCTCTCTCCTAGGACGTCATCGGTCGCCGCATCACTCGACGAATCGTTGTTACCGCTTGTAAATAGAAAACAGGTATATGAACAGATAGAGAGAGAGAGATAGGTCAAGGTCAACGACCTTTGATGTATACTCTCAACAGGATGCTCTCGATCCGTTAACCCCGAGCTGCTACTACTACACTCTAACTCGCCCCGCAAAATGGCTATCATGGAATTCCCACCTGAGCCGAATTGACTTCGATTCTTTCTACACGATTTTATAATCGGCTATTATTGATAACATTGGGAATTGTACTTGGTTAATTCGGAATTAAGTGAAGAGAATTTTGCAAAATTTCGAAGAGGAAATTTTTAAATCTTTTATTAAGGTGGAAACAGATATTTCATCAGATTCAATAATCGTGAATATTCATTTTCATCTTCTTTTTTTTCAGCAAAAAAATCTACAAACAAAGGAGGAACAATTCTTCGATTAAAAAAGTCACGATGGAAATCGATATAACATTCGTATTTCTCAGAAAAAAAAAAAGAAATTAAAACGAAAAATTCTCGAGTTCGCAAAGAATATTCGCGCACGGGCAACCATTCGCCAGGAATTATCTCGCAAGCTGTAATATAATAATTGGAGCACAGGTATGTCGCCGGGGTTGTCATCCTGCGAACAGATCGCGGCCGTCGCGGCACGGAAACTTCTGAATAGCATCGAAATGTTACTAATTTGTTGGTT